CCATCAACTGGGGGTCTTGGAATATATGCCCTGCAGATAAGGGGCACTGCTGTAGTTCGCTAAGTCTGTCATAACAAAGTACCACAGACTGAGTGGCTTAAAAAACAGAAATGTATTTTCTTACAATTCTGGAGGCTAGAAATAAAATCAAAGTTTTGGCAGTGTTGGATTGTTCTGAGGGCTGGGAGCTAAGAGCATATTCCTGGCGTTTCTCCTCAGTTTAAAGATGGCTGTCTTCTCCCTATATCTTTACATGTTCTTCGTGTTTTGAATGTGTCAATGTGTCGTGTCCTTATCTTGTCTCTTAAGGGCACCAGTCATACTGGATTAGGGCCCACCCTAGTGACCTCATTTAAGTTACCACTTGAACGACCCTGCTTTAAATACGGTTACATTTTTAGGCACTAGGGGTTAGCACTTCAACATGAATTTGAAGGAGGGTACAATTCAGCCCATAACAAAAATTATTTGGTAAGTTCTTTTTTGTTACTAAAATCAACTACTTTGTTCAAATGCATTTTAAACAATCCTGCCATGAGCCTTTTAAAATTTCTGCCTCCTTATTTTTCTGTCACCAGAAAATCATCAATGCCTGAGAAATGGGGGGCATTCCAAAGCCACAGATTGATCTGAAATGCAGAAAGATGCCAGACCTACACAGTTGGAACTGCCATAATTCTTTTAACTCAGGCATGATAAATAGTCAAACTCTGTGTACAGGAACTAATGGTAAACAACACTGGTGTAGGTAATGCAAGTTCCAGTCCAGCCTGGGCAACATAGCAAGACTTCCTCTCTAGAAATAATAACAAACAAAACAAGTAAAAAAGAAACTTATTTAATACCTATAGAACATCATAGCTTAGCCTAGCTTACCTTAAAAGTGCTCAAAACTTATATTAGCTTACAATTGAGCAAGATCATCTAACACAATGCCTATTTAATGATAAAGTGTTGAATATCTTAGATAATTTATTGAATACTATACTGAAAATGAAAAACAGAATGATCGTATAGGTACTCACTCAAAGTTTGGTTTCTAATGAGTTAATATTGCTTACACACTATTGTAAAGTAAAGAAAAAATCATAAGTCAAATCCGTAAAAAAATTGGGGACTGTCTGTTTATATTTGTAGATAATTTCCCTTGTGTTTTCATTGTTGCTACTATAGGATTTAAGTGCTGCAGAAAAGGAATACTCTTTTTCCAGGTGGAGAACTGTGAAGACAGTCTAAGAACAGATTGTCACTCCTTTGATTTTCTTTTTTAATTGAGGGACATGACTGAGAAGCAAATGTCTCTTATTAAACAAAAAAAAAAAAAAAAAAGTGGGGGGAGGCTTGGATCACCCAGAATGCACACTGAGCCAAGCATCTGGGTAAGAAAAAAGACAGGAGGCCCTAAACTCCTGAGGAGACCTGGTAGATCATCCTAAACAGGGATTTGGGAAACACCCCAACTGAGAACTGCAATTTGAGAGAGAAAGCTAAAAAGTTTCTCTTAATTGGCATTTGTTACAGAATTCTTTCAGTGCCCTTATGGTAAACAAACTTTCTTCATTTGTCCGAGACTGAGGGCTTTCCTGAGATGTGGGATTTTCAGTGCTAAAGCCAGAGAAGTTTCAGGCAAACCAAAACAGTTGGCCACCATAAGTACAAAACACTGAAGTCCCCGTTAAAAGTGGCAACTGGGAAAGATAACACCCCGTCATTATCATGAACTGTGTGCCATAGCTTAAATAATCACTATATTAAACCTATCATAAGGAAGGGACATGAGATATTTTTATAGATGAAGAGAATCATGGAAAGTACCCAGAATAGGCAAAACTTAAAGTAAAAGTTGATAGGGAGAGATGCTGAGAACAAACAGGCTGAGGACCAGACCTGATACAACTCACGCCACTCTGATGTGGCTAATCCTTGCAAGCGTATCCATAAGTTTGTTACTCAATGACCAGTTTCTCTGACTGCAAAACACTGAATTATTAACTTCATTCCATCAAAAAATAAATACAGCAGTGAAAACAATTTATAACTTTAAATGAACGTAACAGCTAGTTTACAGGAAGGATAAAGTGTTTCTTTTAATTTATGGAAACTAGTATTAGGATTGTTTATCTGCACAGTAAATTTAAAATACAGCGATAGCTTTAACTTACAAGAGGGAGAGGAAGAGAGAAAGCTAAGTGTTTAACTTTTCGATCTTTGCAAAGGGTCTTTGGAAATTCTGCTCCAGATTTCCCAGAACATGACAGTGACTTAACATGTATACAGGTTTTTCAGTTACCAAACAACCCATCAATTAGCATTTATGGAACATTAATTTGTGTCAGCCAGGTACCGTAAGTGTGAGCAATGATCCAAATACATTTAAATGGGAATTGATTGTTTTATTTATGGTAATCCAGTCAATGTTAGGCTCTTCTTTCTCTGCTTTTATTTTCCATCTCTTCCTCTTTCCCCTTACTTTTCTCTTTCTCCTTTTCTTTTTTCTCATTGGCAAATTAAATAAATAAATAAATAAATAAATCAGAGGGATAGACCCATTATTCTTAGAACAATAGATGAAGTTACTACTTCTGAGAAAACAATGCTAATTGTATATCTATTCTTAACAAAGCACTATGCTCGGCACAAGACACAGAAAATCTTTCATTTTTTAAGGCCATTGTCAATCACGTGGAGGAGCTAGACAAATATTTATTGACATGGCATAAAATATAATTGGTCAACAGTTATTGAGTTCAGATGTAGAGAGGCCTTGAATCAATTCTTTCTATAATAAAGGATTTCCAAAACATTAAACATGAAATGTAGTGAGATCTCTTGTCATCGTTACAACAATTAAGTCCTGTGGCTTCCTTTGTAGTTTTGTGGCATAATAACAGACATGTTTTTGTTAACTGCAAATAGTTCTTTTTTATATTTACCTTAGCTAGATTAAAACCTAATTTGACAGTTAATTTCAACTATTGCACATAGTAAAAACAGCAGACTTGAAGATTTCTTCTTTCTGGACTACCTGCTTCTTAAGTTCCATTTTCCTGTGTCCTGGGATTGCAGAGTAAGCAAAATCAACAAGCTTTCCTGCCTTCTCAACCTTATTTGTATATTGATAGCTTCTGTATTATTTAGGACCCAAAACACCTTCAAATGGAAAGTTTTTAAAATCCTATGCAAGATTTCTTATTAAATATTACAATGACATCTACATTAATGCACTCCTTGATTCCTTGAGGGCAAAGAGCACTTGGAACACAACATTTAAAGCTCTGGGTGAATTCAGGAATCTATCAGTAAGTCCTGACTCAACAGAATTAGCTCATGTTTACGGGCAGGGCTCTTACATTAATAAAGGAGGTTTTATTTCCAAAACATTCCAGTGTTTAAAAAAGTCTTAGAAAAACTACAACCCTGACTAAACAGTGGTCAAGTAGAAATAATTCTATCACTGAGTACTTTACACAAGAAAAGACCTTGAGAGAGGTCCAATTATAATTATGAAGATTTGACTTAGAGTTGTTCTTGTCTTCAGAAAAAATGAAATAAACATTGTATTGTTTGGGATTATAAAAAAATGAGTGTTTTCTGGATATCGGATAAAGTAGTTGGCAGGAATTCTTGAAGTATGGAAGGTCAATATCCTAAAACATCCTAACCAATATAAACATCCTAACCAGTAAAACTATAGACTATTAAAATACATCTGTGAAAGGATTATCTAAAATTATATATTACATAGAATTAGATAAAATGGCCCATTCCAATCAGTCTGCATATTGCAGCAAATTTTAAACAGAAATCTGCAATAGGATAGATTTTTGTTGTTTTTGTCTATTTTTATGAACAATTTAATTTTCTGCATTAAACATACTTTTCATTGTTTGAAGTGCTTTATTGAAAAAGTTTAATAGAATGCCTACTTTGAAATCTTGTTATTGTTGCTATGTTTTCTTTTGGCAGTAATAATGGATTGCATTTATCTATTTATGCTTCTTTTCTGGAGGCCTCTGGATGAATAGTATGATTTTCCTAGATGATTGGATAATCTCACTGGTGAAGCAATTTGTGTGATTATGAATCACATTCATACTGGGTATAACTTTCAGAACCAATTGGCCCAGAAAATATTTAGTAACTCATTGGAAGCCCCCTGCATAAATCAGGAAATCTTAGAATTAAACCCAACTGATGGTTATACAAATTTTAACAGCCTGCATACTGAAAACTCACCACCCAGAAAGGGCATTCCATTTTTGAACAAATCTTCTTTTATGAAGTTCTATCTGTACTTGAGCCCAAATCTGACTTTTGTACCTTATTCATCATTTAATAAATGCTGACTGAGTGCCTATTATATACCATAAATGCTGAAGATAAAATGACATGATACATTTCCTCTTCTCATGGATTTTGCTCTCAGTGGGAGGAAACTATTTCACTAATGACCTTCTACATGTACTTCCTTCAGATGTTTGGAGATAACAATCATTCCCTCAAAACTTTAAAACATTTCTTCACTAGGCTGCACACCCTAAGTCCCCTCATTTAAAATAAAGAATTTTTCAGATTCTTTATTGCATGTTACTTCCATAGTGGTTTGCCTATGTTCCTCTTCAGGTAGCTGCCCCACTAGTGCTAAACCTTGGTGAAGTCTGTCTAGAGCACATTTACCCATTCAGTCACTTATCTGAAAAACTTATTTGGCATCTGTTACAGGTCAGGCAAATATGAATATGCCCATGATTTCTGTCATTGAGTTTATGTTCTAAAGGAAGTCTCAAAATGATTGAACAAGACGATTGCTTCTCTAAGTGTGGGCAACCTAGTCCTGTTAATTCAGCCTATGCTTTGTAGATAAGGAAATGGATCTTAATGGGTTTGTGACTCAAATTTTTCTTATATGCTAGTTTAAGGAGTTGTGGCCCCAGGCATAGGCCCAAATACAACAAAATTCACTGAAATAAGCAAATAATCTGCAACTTAGAAATAATACAAGTTGCAAAATAATCAGTTTTTAATAGGTAGAGTGGAATGATTGCAATGTAAACCTCTTCAGGGTTGTGGTAAGCTAAACTGATAAAGTTATAATCAGCATTAGTTTGAAAATAGGAAAGTCTATACTAATATTTATGGTAGAACCAAGTAGACTTACATGTTGTCATCACTGTTAATAACATTTTGTTTTGTTTCTTCCTTCTCCTCTCAAGTAATGACAGCTTCTGAATCTGGAACACAGTGCTAACATTGATATCTCAGAACTAAATGTCCCTTCTCTGTCCTCTTAGGGTTCTTTAAACTGGTAGAAGTTTCTTCCCTACCTTGTCTTCTGTGTTAAGCCTCTCTACTTTGAGAATAATTCACATTTATTCTACAAAAGGGTAATCACAGTAGTTTTTCATTTGTTCACCTATGCATCTACTCATTTTATTCATTAAATTTTTAAAAATGAATTTAGTACTTGGTCCATGTTTGGAATTCAGTTAATTTTTGTGACACGAGTGAATAAATGAATGAGGACGTAATCAATTCAGCACATTTCTTTGTAGATTATAATATTCATTTGCTTAGTAGATAAGAACAAGAAAAGGGTTTTTTTGATCCTTTTTTTTTTTTTTTTGCAGCTGAAGGAAGCTATAAATCTGTAATAGGTGATGCTGGCAGTGTCAGGAACATCACAAAGGGTGTCATCCAATGAGTAGCAGGCTGCTTGTATTGCTGACATAATTCTGGCTTCTCCAGTGGCTAATAAGTGCCATGATGATATACCTGTAACAAAGCCAAGGGGTCACAGTAAGTTATTTGATAAATTTTAATGTTCCTTTGAGTCTATCTCATGATTATTTTGAAAATGCTTCATATGCCACATAATATGTATCAGTATTGGCTGGTTTTTGTGTTTGTACCCTTGCCACCATGAGATCTGCTTTTAGCTCAAGCACCATTTGAGAATGGCTCTTCCCATAAGAGATCCATGCTCCTCCAACTTCCCAGCATGTTGGAGAAAAAGGTACAGGCGCTCAGGTTGGCACGCAGTGTTTCCAAATTGATAGAATAGGCAGATGTCATTTCCAGGGTGATAAATTCATAGGCAGCCAACGTTTTGCAAGATGAAAAGAGCTTATAGACATTTATTGGTAAATGTTATTGCATACATTTTGGGGAACTGTATAAACAGAGATTGAAAAGTAAGGATCCAGACACAGATAAAGTTTCATTCCTCAAAGGGAAGAGAACAACGTGAGAAAACAGAAGCCAGATGAGAAGGAATTTGGGTGGGACTAAGCAGAGGCTTACCTTCATTACTGGTTATCACTAGCACCTTAGTAAGAAGAAACTGGAAACTGTAGAATGATTTCATAAACCTGGTAGAAGCAGTTGCAAGGATATAGTTTTATGCCACATTTGCGGTGGCATACTATGATTACTGTGAGTGTGGTAGGATGACTTTTCCAACCCACCTCACAACCCATTCCAGAAACTTAACTTTCTCCTAGAATATGTTGTATATAAAAGTTTAAATAATAAGAAAGGGTTATTATATCATTTATCATTACACTGAAGAACTGATAAACATAATCCGTACAACAATACATACAAGATCTGATGGCAAGAGGGTACTTATATTTCATGGAAAATGTTTGATTACCCTTTCGACAGTGTGCCTGGAGGCAAGCCCATATAGAACTTCCTCCTTTTCAATGCTCAGAATCTAAAGCTTCTGGGTCCATATCATTACCAAAAGCCGTGGTATAAAGGATGACTAACAAGCCATGATGCAAAGCCAAACAAAAGAAGAAGCAGGGCGTTGGTGGAGAGTGACTGGGCACCAAGGTTGAGGGTCTTTGGATGAGGAAGGAGAGAACTCAGTATCCCTCGTGATGCTTTAGCCTGATTGCAGGGTTGGCCATTTGGCGTACTTGAAATATCCATGACTAATTTTCTTTGTTGTTGGAATAGTTTGCTAGGGTTGCCATAACAAGGTACCAAAGACTAGGTGGCTTAATCAACAAAATTTATCTTCTTACAGTCCTGAAGGTAGAAATCCAAAATCAAGGCATTGGTTTCTTCTAAGGTTTCTCTCTCCGATTTGCAGATGGCTTTCCTCTTGATGCCTCTTCACATAGTTGACCCTTTGTGCACTCACATCCCTGGCATTTCTTCCTCTTCTCTGAAGTATTCTAGTCAGATTGGATTAGGACCACATTTTAACTTAATTATCTCTTTATAAACCTTATTTCCAAAATGCAGTTATATTCTGAAGTAGTAAGAGTTGGGACTTCAAATTATGAATTTGGCGGGGACACAATTCCACATACAACATTGCCCTGTATGGCATTCAGGAGACAAGTTGAATACTCCAGAGGAGATATGCCCAGATCCCAGAACACTTTCCAGGCATGGAGTATGTTTATGTGGCTTAGAAACAGAACATTTATTATGCATCATGCCCAACTTTGCTCCTGTCAGGGACATGTGGCTGGAGTTACAGGAGCACACACAGAATTGCCAGTCCTAAGTGTAGATTATAGCAAGTTCACCAATCTTCTGTTGTCTTCATGCAATTCTGAATTCTACATTTTTCCAGTTACTGTAACAGATATTTAGGTTGGTTGACTCTATTTTTAATGTTTCATCAAAATGTCCACAGCCAAGAAGATGGTATTGGATGTAGAGAACAATGTCTTCATAAGACCTATTTCTCGAGTGGGCTATGCATTTACCATTTTGGTTTGGCATTGTGAAATGCAAGAGTCTATCTGGTTTTTTTTGCAGCACTCTATAATGAATGCTATTTGTGAAAACAGAAGCAAATTAAAAGGCTAGTAGTCTACATGTCACTCATTTTTAAGCCTCTTACAGTTGTGAAAGTCACATGAAGTAATGTAAGCAAAAATGATTTACAAAACTGTTAAGTGACATACACACGTGTATTATCACTTTGTAGTTATTTTGGCTCCAGTAGCGAGGCTCCTGGAGTTCCTCTAGTATTGAGATGAGTTATAAACCAGTACTCTTATTGTTATCTGTAATTTCAGACTTACAAGCCTTAATAGGACTAATAAGATATATATCTTTTTACTTGAAAAATGCATACTATACATGTTATATGGGTTGATAACGGAGTCCCGGAGAAACATCACTCCAGAAGCCACCAAGTTATTACTTATGATTGCTTATGTTCTAGTCACACGAAATAGGTACAGAAAATGAAAAATTTGTGTCAAAAGGAATAACATGCCTTGGGGAGTTATTTTATGAGGCTAAAATCATGAATAATGCAACAAGTCAGAAACGCAAAATAATTTGTAGTTAATAGGAGGATGTTTGCAAAAGAGCTCCAGTGACAGATGGGGCCTTGTTAGGAGGCTTTGTTGGGTGATAGAATTTCGGGAGAAAGAAAGAGGAGGTTCCACTGGCATTTTCTCAGGCTAAAACTCAGAGCTGGGTTGAAAGAAGATAAAAGAAGATAAAGAGGCTTTGTAAGTACAGGAGAGTAAGACAAGCGGGGACAGGAGTACTGGAAAGGCCAAAGCAGAGGATGGGCAATAGCCCCAGTGGCTCAGCAGGACTAAAATCCAAGAGTACTTGGAATTCTTTACCCTTTCATAATGTTTTTGTTTGCTAAAGGGGCTTTAAACCATATGTAGCAAAGTATTAATATGTGTTTAATCGAGTTATTTTTGTACATGGATACTTGCATTAACAGTAGTATATTCCATACTTTTCTATATGTTTGTTTTATCTAAGCAAATATGAATTAAAAATTAAAGCCTAAACCCCTGTTTTCTGCTAAGAACTTCCTCATTAAGCAGAATCTCATATCACTCACAACTAATATTTTCATTTAGTAGTTGAGAAATATTCTTTCTTCTGACATTAAGAGGTAAGGATGCTATTTTTAAGACAATACATTATGATGTATTACTATTTTATAAAGGACAACTCATATGCCATGTAGAAAGTATGCAAGAGACTGAGGAACTCTGAAAGTGCTACAGTTTTCCTCTAAAACATTAAAATTGCACAAAACTTACATAAATGAATTACTTCTCTTACAGAGAGGTATGTTGTAGTCAAACAGTTTTGAAGTAGGATCAGAAAACTGGGTTCTAGCTCAGGTCTGCTGGTAATTGTTTAACCATGGGGAAGCCGAGCCAGTTAACTTTTCTGGTTCTTCCCTTCTTTATTTATAAAATGTAGAAGATAGTCTTTCTAGCTCTGAGTGTTTTCAGTAGGTGGTAGAGTAGCAGAGTGTTAAGGAAGTAGGTTCAGAAGTCAGACTGGGGCATGTAAGAGCCTTTACAGTCCCTATCTTACAGGCTGTTTATGAAAAATTTGTAAAATAAAACAAACACAGCCCTATAAACAGTGCCTCCCAAATATAAAAAGGCTCAGCTCTTTTAATTGCTGTTTGAGAGAGTCGTGATTCAGTATACTTAGAACTATGCTAGGCTTGTGAAAGATTATAACACCAAATACGTTGTTTTTGTTTATCACTTGTATTTTTCCACTATTTTCTTGCATCCCAGAATTAAAAAGAGATATAATAAGTATAGTACATACAATAATTGCTAATCCATATAGTCTCTAAGAAAAGTGGGATGGTGAGTTTCATCCTTAGTCTAGAAGAGGAGCTTAGGCATGAGACGCGGCAGTGATGTGGCTTGTACTATGTCTAAAAGGACTTAATGAATAAGGTGGAAAACTAGCTAAGTCTTAGTGGCCATTCTTAGTCTCTTCTCAGTTGTCAGTGCTAATTATTGGAATGGAATAACAAAGTCCTAAGTAATTTCACCACTAACAAGGAGAGTTCCGGGTTATGGGAAGAATCTGCCTTAATTCTTTACATCCTGGGGCATGGATTGATAAGTTATTTCTTAAGCAGGAAGTTTATGTACCAAATTTGCATTCCTCTACTTAAAAGCATGAATTCCATTTCTTTCTAAGCTCAAATACTGTTTCCAAACAAGCTGTTTGTAATCTTCTTTGCCAGGAATTCCTCTGCATCCTCATCACTTTTCTCTTGCCCAGTGAGGCAATGCACTTGGTTTTGTGCATCTTACATTGAACCAGCAGGAGAATTCAGCTCTCATCAACAAAAAGGAAGTCAGCCTTATGCAGAGGCTTATGTCACTGTCTACAACTGTCAATGCCTTCCCCCTAGAGGAAAGGCAGCTTCTCTTAGAGAGCTAAACATTAAATTAGATCCTTCTAGAAATCAGGCTCTGGAAGAGTTTATTTCGAGTTTCTGGCTAACTGAGCAATGTGGTGAACTGCAGTGAGCAAAGTTTCCCAGGCAAGTGGATCTAGGTTGGCTCTGCCGCCTGCAAGCTGCTGAGATTACTGTGGCAAATTACTTACCTTCCCTGAGACTATTTGCTTTTTGTAAAATTGGAACAAAAGTGAACCTACCGTATTGGGTTATTGCAAGGATTAACCAATGATAGTTCATGTATAGTACTTAGCAAACTAACCAATCAAATAAGAATTACTTATGTGCGTGTTGCCATAATTTGGTATATCTATATTAGTTCCCATCCCTTTGCTCTGTCTTCTCTTTCCAAAAAGTAAACCACAGTGTTTTAAAATAGTGATATTAATGTTTTATATTTATTCTCTAGAAAATATAAAGAGAAAATTCAATATAATCTAAAATATATTGAGATATACTGACTCTTCAAATTCAGTATAATCTCAAACAGTAGATATAAAACTCAAAATTCTATTTGGTCAAGAAAGAGAAGACTAGTATGCAGAGAATAGAA